TCCAATAAAATCATGTCAGAATCATCATTCATGGGAAAAACCATTTCCAAGACTCGTACAGGTAGTCCTCGACTTACGACAGTTCGCTTAGTGACCGTTCAAAGTTACAACAGCATGGACAAAAGTGACTTACGACTAATGGTGGGTTTCCAATATTCTTACCGCCGGTTCGTCGTGTGGGCACATGCACGCTTCACGCATGTGCCTTCCATGCATGCGCCCAGCCTCGAAAATGTCTTCTGTGTATGCGCCCAGGCTTCGCACATGTGCGCGTCTTCCATGCATGTGCCGAGGCTCGAAAAAGTGCCTAAATAGGACGGCATAGAGCCAGGGTGAATGGGCAGGTCCTCCTGCGATCTCCACAACCGGTTCGCACGAACCGATACGAACCGGCTGAATACCACCTCTGCTTACGATCGTTTTTCACACTTATGACCTTTGCCACATTCCCATGGTCCCACGTGATTTACATTCGGATGCTTGATGGCTGACTCACATTTATGACGGTTGCAGTGTCCCGGGGGGGGTCACGTGAGGATCCCCTTTTTACGACCTTCTGACGAGCAAAATCAACGGGGAGGCCAGATTTGCTGAACCACTGCGTTTAACAAGGGCAGGGATTCCCTGAACAAATGTGGCAAGAAAAGTCGTAAAATGAGGCAAAACTCACTTTTCCAATTTCTCACTTAGCGACCAAAATTTTGGGCTCAATGGCGGTCGTAAGTTGAGGACTGCCTGCATTTAGGTCACACGTGTGTGGCGGCTTTTGTAAACAAGCGTGCCTTTGGGTGGCGTTACCCAGTACAATATTAGTGATAGGCGAGAATATTTTCCTAATATCTTATTAGTTACTTAAAAATTAAAAACGGGTTTTCTAGCGTCTTAATTCTGAAGTTGCAAGGATCAATGGTGCCCCCTGGTGTTTAGAGTTGGCATCTGCAGGCAAAACACCAAGGAATTATTTCTTGTAGGATGGCTCCCTCTGGTGGTAATGTAAAGTATTACAGTCAATTTTTATAAATAGGAAGGAAGGAAGGAATTGGACCGGAAGGAATTAAGCATCAAAAGTGGAATTATTCCCTTCCAACGAAGCAGAAAAAGACACGTATGATTTAACAGTGAAAACAAGCTGCCGTCTAATTTAGTGATAATTATCAATTTAGATGAGAAAGTCGCAGTGGATTCGGCGGCCGAAGTTGTTTTCTGAGGCAGACGGGCGGTTCAAAAAATGTGGAAAATAGTAAATAAATAAACAAACAAATAAATAAATAAACTAAGGGAGAGTAGCAACTGAAAAGAGATACAGCTAGTCCTCGACTTATAACAGTTTGCTTAATGACCGTTCAAAGTGAGAACGGCCCTGAAAAAATGTGATTTATGACCGCTTTTCACGCTTATGACCGCTGCATCTCCACAGTTACGTGAACCAAATTCAGATACTTGGCCGCCGACTCACATTTATGACAGTTTGCAGCGTCCCGGGGTCACGTGATCGCCATTTGCGATCTTCTGACGAGCCAAGTCAACGGGGAAACCGGATTCATTTAACGACCGTGTTACTCCTTTAACAACAGCAGTGGTTCACTTAACCAATGGGGCGAGAAGAGTCGTAAAATGGGGCGCACTCACTTAGCAAGGGTAACCCGTTTTACGACTCTCACAATTCATGCGACTGTAATCTCCGGGTTCAGTTCGAGCCGTAACCTTGAGGACTAGCTGTAGAGTTTCCCTTTTTACAGCTAGTCTTCGACGTAACGACTGCAATTGAGCCTGAGATTTCCGTTGCTAAGCAAGACAGTTGTTAAATGAGCTTTGCTCCCTCTTATGACCTTTCTGGCCACGGTTGTTAAGTGAATCACTGCAGCAGTTAAGTTAATCACACGGTTGTTAACTTAATCCGGTTTCTTTGCTTGTCAGAAGGTCACAAATGAGAATATATCTGCCGAACAAAACTCCTCATTGGCAACAGGAAAGGCATCCGGCCAGTAAAAAACACTCCGCTAGCTCCATTCAGTTGCTCAGACTTCACACCCGCAAGGAATTACGGGATCATTAAACGACCATGCATAGGTAGTGTGAAAAATAAGTCACTTCTTTCACTGCTGTTGTAACTTCAAATGGTCACTAAACGAGCGATTGTAAGTCAAGGACTCTCTGTACTTTTCCTGCCTGGCCTCACCCTGGACAGCTCATCAGATCTAGTTCTCCAGGCCAGTTTTTCACAACTTTGGCAATTGTGTGAATTGGACTCTTTTGGATTTGATGAGATTTCTTGGAAAAGCGGAAGGAGAAATTCGAAACTTCACTCCAACTCATCCAATTTCGTCTCTTCATCATGGGGGAAATTTCTTCGGACTCTTTGTTTTAAAAAGAGATTCCACAGCTCGCAAAAGTTTGAAACTCCCCCCTTTTTTGTGCACACACAAACATGGACACACGCTCAATTCACAACTCGTTCCGCAGGCCGATGTTCGGCCGAGCCCCAGGCCTCGCAACCCACTGCTTCACACAAAAGCCATTCACTCTACATCACGCGCCTTTCCATCTGAATAATATACGATGCAATTCGCATCCGTGCTCCGCTGTAGCTTCGAACGATCTCACGCTCTTGAATTTCTCAATATTAATGCAAAATATTATACAACCACAGAGGTGAATTCGCTCTCGCTTTGTCTGATTTGCACAAGGGTTAAGAGTCCCTTGAAACCAGGGGTGAAATGCTCCCGGTTCGGACCGGATCGCCCGATCCGGTAGCGATGGAGGCGGGTGGTTCGGAGAACCGGTAGCAAAAATCCCTCCCCGCCCCCATGCCCAGCTGAGCCGTGCAATCATCAGAGGCTTTTTATTTTATTTTTAAAAGCATTTTTTTTCTACAACCTCTTCGGCTGAAAAAATGCTTTTAAAAGTAAAAAAAAAAGCCTCTGCCGATCAGGCAAGTCAGCTGGGATTGTCAGAGGCTTTAAAAAAAAAAAAAAGCCTCTGCCGATCAGACAAGTGAGCAGGGATCGTCAGAGGCTTTTAAGAAAATGCGATTTTTCAGAGGCTTTCAAAGCATTTTTTTCAACCTCTTCCCTGAAGAGGTTGTAGAGAAAAAATGGTTTTAAAAGAAAAAAAAAAAAAAAAAAGTTGGCCACACCCACTCAGTCATATTACCCACCACCACCAAGCCAGGCCCACAGAACCGGTAGTAACAAATTTTACATTTCACCACAGCTTGAAACCTTCAGTTTGGGCCTACTTGCCCAGTTTTGAAAGTTGCATACTCATTGTTTCTGGACACGAGGAGACAGCGCAAAGTTTCTCACTCGTAGCCCCTTTTAAGATGCGTGGACTTCAATTCCCAGAATTCTGGCTGGTTGGTGGAATTCTGGGAGTTGAAGTCGGCATAGCTTAATGTTACTACACTGAGGTAAACCTCAGAAATCAGGAGGAATTTCCTAAGGTTGTGAGCCATCAGCTAGGGCAGGAGCAGGGGTGAAATGCTACGGTTCACACCGGTTCGGGTGAATCGGTAGTAAAAAATATGCTTCGCACTGGTTAAAAAAAGCTGCCGGTTCCTCAGAACCGGTATTTCCAACAATCAGCTGTGCCGCACGGTTTAGCTTTGCAAGAAAGCAGGAAAACCGGTAGCAAACCAGTTCAGATTTCACCACTGGGCGCAGCTCCCAGAATTCCTCAGCCAGCACGGCTGCCTGGGGAATTCTGGGAGTTGAAGTCCACAAGTCTTAATTGGAGACCCCCTGAGCTAGAGGAACAAGTAGCCACACGGAGTGGTGAGCTTTCCTTCACTGAAGTTCTTCAAACAAAAGCTAGAAAGGCCTTGTTAGCGATGTTCCCGATTATCCTACTCTGCAGGGGTTGGATTGGATGACCTCTAAGATAACCTTCTGATTCCGGGAGTTTAGGGCTCTACTAGACAACCCGTGACTGATAGAGTCATCGTTTCAGAGAGATTTCCTTCCCTAAACAGAGAAACTGGGGAGGGGGGGAACCATTGGGAGTGATAGTGTTTTCCTGCTGGCTTCCCCAGTGACTGTTTTTGTGGGAAACTGGGAGGCCTGTTGGAAATCATGACTGCAGCAAGCATGGTAGCATAGCGGCCCTGAAGCGGCCCCGGCTTCGCCAGAATTCAACCCCACGAGAGTCCTGGGTCCCAGATTTTGGACACAATCCTTAAGCACGTGAATTCAAAAATGGTTGCCCTACGATCAGGGGTGAAATCCAGCAGGTTCTGACAGGTTCTGGAGAACCGGTAACGGAAATTTTAAGTAGTTCGGAGAACCGGCAGCGGAAATTTTGAGTGGTTTAGAGAACTGGCAGTGGAAATTTTGAGTAGTTCGGAGAACCAGTAGCAGAAATTTTGAGTAGTTCGGAGAACCGATAGCAGAAATTTTGAGTAGTTCAGAGAACCGATAGCGGAAATTTATTTATTTTTTTATTTTGATTTATATGCCGCCCTTCTCCAAAGACTCAGGGCGGCTTACAATGCGTTAAGCAAAAGCCTTCAAACTATTGTATATTTTATACAAAGTCAGCTTATTGCCCTCACAAACCGGGTCCTCATTTTACCTACCTTAGAAAGGATGGAAGGCTGAGTCAACCTTGAGCCTGGTGAGAATTGAACTCGCAGTAATTGCAGGCAGCTGGAAGCTAAATACTACCTTTTAACAGTAGCATTATTCTGCTGAGCAGTTTGGAGAACCGGTAGCAGAAATTTTGAGTAGTTCGGAGAACCGGTAGCGGAAATTTTGAGTAGTTCAGAAAACCGGTAGCGGAAATTTTGAGTAGTTCGGAGAACCGGCAAATACCACCTCTGGCTGGTCCCAGAGTGGGGTGGGAATGGCGATTTTGCAGTATCCTTCCCCTACCACACCTACCAAGACACATCACGCCCACCAAGCCACACCCACAGAACCGGTAGTAAAAAAAATTGAATTTCACCACTGCCTATGACACACCGTTTCGCTCAATTGAAGGCTACAAACTGACAGACACGAGAGTTTTAGTAGTATAGATATGTTTAGTAGTAAAAGACATCTATGTTTACTTCTTCATGCACGTGTATGCAGTTGCTGGGAACGTGAGGCCTATTGTATTGCATCCGAAACAATTTTAATCTTGTCTTTCCGGCAAGTTAAATCTGGAAATAATCTAATATTGTGGATCCGGATTCTCCAGGAAAGACGGGAGTCAGCTCCAAGACTATATGCAGATACAGAAGCTGGAAATCTAAGATGGAGTTTTCACCACTGAAGGGACACTTGAGCGTGCTAATTCACTGATGTTCCGGGTCTGTAACGGAAGAGGAAAAGCAACTCAGTGGGAAACGAGGTGGGTGGGCTTTGACCTCGGAGCGACCACAAGAGGATCAGAAAGGTCAAAATCCAAACTCTGCAGGTGAACAAGGGGCGTGGCTTTTGGCGTAGGGGTGGAGCCAGCACTTTGATTACTTTGCGCCCCTTTCTAGCATACGCCCCTCGATAGTTTGTTAGAGCAGTATTTCTCGTCCTCGGCAATTTTAAGACGTGGTGGACTTCAACTCCTAGAGGTGCCGTGGCCTAGAGGTGGAGTTCTCGCCTCACAAATCAAGAGGCTGTGAGTTCGATCCTAGGTAGAGGCCGATATTTCTCTCTCTCTGGGCACAATGAGAATATATCTGCTGAACAAAACTCTGCATTGGCGACAGGAAAGGTATCCGGCCAGTAAAAAAAACACTCTGCTAGCTCCATTCAGTTCCCCAGATTCCACCCCGCAAGGGATTATGGGGTCGTTAAAAGATGATGATGATGGACTTCAACTCCCAGAATTCCCCAACCAGCACAGTTGGTTGAATTCGCTGCTGGAGAATTCTGGGAATTGAAGTCCACACGTCTTAAAGTTGCAGAGATCGAGTAACGGTGGTGAAGATGACCGAATATCCATTTTTATTGATAATTACGCCTACTAAATATCGATCAAGACATCTGCCTAGTCTCCAAACACTTCCCTCTCATTCTTTCCCCAGTTCAAAGCCAGGATTTAAATCATTGTTGCAGCTTTCAGGAAAATCTGTCATCAGATTTCATTCCCAATTTGGGGATTACAAGGATATATTCCCCACCTTCCTCACCACTCACACACTCCGGACATCGCTTGGTGGTCTCCTATCCAGGCGTTCAATCTGGTTTCGGCTTTTTTTTCACGCCAGCTCTGTCCCACCTGCTCAGCGCGGCCATCGCAAAACGAGCACAAATTTGACACGTTCACGTAATCTGCTCACCTTCTTCCGATCCCATCTCCGCTTGGTAGGTTTTGTAGGCGTCCAAGCAGAAAATTCCAATTAGAATAAGACTGAAAACCTGCCATGAAACAGAGAAGCAAAGCTTGAACGTTTGAAGGGCTCTCCGATAAATTAAGCCCAAAATTAGCATTTCACGGACACTTAGTTTGTATGGGAATTTTCTTAGATTTGCCTCAGGAAAAAAACAATTACAGGGGATTTGCAGCCTGGAATGGAAGGGGTTAAAAAATCAAGATGGTGGCCATTTGACCCTTTAGGTGTTGATTATAATAAATAAATATTCATAAATTTACTTATTCAATTTTTAGGCTGCCCAGATTTGCTTGAGAATGAGATTGGTAACAAATAAATACTCTCTCTCGGCCCAGTCTACCTCACAGGGTTGTTGTTGTGGGGGAAATAAGAGAAGACTGGTATGTCGGATTTTGAGTTGCTTTGAATTATTTGTAAAGAATAATAAAGAATAAAATAAAATAATAAATAAAATAATAAAATGAAAATAATAAAATAACATAATAAAATATAAAATAAAGTAAAAAACATCAATTAAACTAAATTGAAATAAAATATAATAAAATGATAAAATAAAAACATAATATAAAATAAATAAATAAATAAAATAAAATAAATAACATAATAAAATGAAAATAATACTGGTAAAATAAAATAATAAAAAATAAAACAAAGTAAAAACATCAATTAAACTAAATTGAAAAAATATAATAAAATAATAAAATAAAAACGTAACATTAAAAAAAATAATAATAAAATAAAATAATAAAATGAAAATAATGCTGGTAAAATAAAATAATAAAACATAAAACAAAGTAAAAACATCAATTAAACTAAATTGAAATAAAATAATAAAATAAAAACAACAAATAAAATAAGCTAATAAACTAAATTGAAATAAAATATAATAAAATAAAATGAACTAACGAAATAACAACATAACAAATAAAACAACCTGATACAATCAATCAAAACAAAATAAAATAATGAATTAAAGTAAAATAAAAAATAAAATAAAAATCTAATATAACATAAATATAAACTGAAATAAACTAAACTAATAAAATTAAATTAAATATAATAAAATTAAATTAAAATTAAAAATTAAATAAAAGACATGTGTAAAAAGGGAAGGAACTTTGGTTCAACAGGTGCAGCCCCCAAATAGACATTTTCCACCCTCCCTGAGAGCCAATCAGAGATCTGGAATATGGTTTCCCAGAATTCTCCAGAGGCTGACTGGGGACTTCTGGGAATCAAACTCCCGATGCAAGGAGCCGATTGGGAGAAAAGACGGCGGTCACTCACAAAGGCCGACACGGCCGATCCCTCGTGGTTGGTGGCAATGACGGCGAAGCCCACCACGATGAAGATGCTGGCCGCGCTGACGCACCGAAGGAAATCCTGCAGATGGAAAATGCACCGAATCGGTCCAAACGTCCATTCCCAAGATCCTGAAAACTCTTAAAAATGCTAGAAACGGCAGGGAATTAGGGATCCTGCACTTCAATGCCCTTCAGCCTCATTCAATTAACTCCAATGCAACTTGCCAGGGAAGGAGGCGCGGCGGGGATTTCGCTGTCCCTAACCAGAGGTGGTATCCAGCCGGTTCGGACTGGTTCGACTGTGGCGATTGCGGGTGGGCCTGTCCATCTGCCCCGGCATAAAGACGTTCTATTTAGCCACGTTTTCGAGGCCAGACGCATGCGCGGAAGGTGCGCACGCACGGCGAACCGGTGGTCAGCATTTCTGAACCCCACCGCTGACCCTAACCCAGGTTTACCCACCAGGCAGGGCCAGTTGACCCAGGTCAGGCGTTCATGATAGTACGTGGCTCGCAAACCGAGGAAAGTCAGGGTTACCAACACCTCCAGCAAGGCAGCGCCCATGTAGGCCGAAACGGAAGCCGTGAGCAGTAAGAAAACCAGGAAACAAAGACCCTGAAAGAAGGAGGTAGAACGTAATGTGTGAACGGTGCAACGTTTCTCCCCCAAAGTCTGGATTTGCAGATCTTTTTTTTTTTTATTCAATGGGAACCCACCATAAACCCCACAAAACTTATTTATTAAACTCGGATGCTTGAAGAGAAGGTGGACTTCAACTCCCAGAATTCCTCAGCCCGGAATGAAGTCTGTCATTTCATTTAGCGACCGTTACAACAGCATGGGGGGGAAAATGACTCAGGACCGTTTTTTCACAGTTACGACCTTTACCGCATCCCCGTAATCATAATCGTTTTAAGACTGGTGGACTTCAACTCCCAGAATTCCCCAGAAAGCATGGCTTGCCCGACTGCAAGGAAGTCTCATGGCTGGCTGAGGAATTCTGGGAATCGAAGTCCACCCGGGTACTTACGGGACCACCAGTAGCCTCTCACCGGCCAGTACGCTCTCATAGAGAGGGGCTCCTCAGGGTGCCATCGGCCAAACAGTGTCGACTGGCGGCCCCCAGGGGGAGAGCCTTCTCTGTGGGGGCACCTACTATCTGGAATGAGCTCCCCCCGGAGATACGGAGGATCCCGCATTTACGCACTTTCCGCCGTGCCCTAAAAACGTTTTTATTCCAACAGGCTGGCCTGCCCTAACCTCCTTTTTTAATTGTAAATTTTAAATTTGTCTAAAACCTTAGGGGTGTTTTAATCTGTTCCGGGCCAAATTTATTTAATTAGGTTTTTATACTGTTTTTAAATTTTGTATAATCTGTGTGTTTTATCTCTTGGCTGTTCACCGCCCCGAGTCCTTCGGGAGTAGGGCGGTATATAAATCTAATAATAAATAAATAAATTAAATAAATAAAAATCGCCGGGGTTAGTCACCCACGCTTTAGAGCTTCAAGGACAGGCAGATGTTCAACCAGAGCAGCTTTCTCCAGCTGAATTTAGCTGGTTTGGTTCTGGATGGGGGATTCTGGGAATAGAAGTCCAGACTTCTTCCCAGCAACCAGCATTAAGAAATATCGGTTTATCACTTGCAAATATTCGCCTGAATCCAGAGATTTTTCCACCTCGCCTTCCCCAGCCCTCAAACTGCAGCTTTCTGCTGCAAACTGCACCCAGCCCCATCAGGATATCAGGTTAACAGAGTTGGAACGGACCTTGACATGATGGGAATTGTAGTACGGCACTATGGAAAACTATTCACTGATCTCTGAATATTTTCCCCCAAAAGTCCGTTCCAACACAAGCATTTTGTGTGTGTGTGTGTGTGTGCCCTGCCACCCCCAAATTTGGGCTACAATTTTGGAAGAAAAGAGATCTACCCACTTCCCAGCTATCTGGGGCCGAGCTCCTCCACCCGGCCCTCCTGGGAGGGAACGATGGGAAGCGGAGTTAGAAAACTGCCAAATTGGGGGAGTGCAAGGGAGGTGGGAGGAGGGAAAGGCAACAAGGATGGATTAATTTTTTTTTTTTTTAAAAAGACAGAATTAACTATTGCAGAGAGAAAAGAATGGTGGCGAGGAAGGAAAACCGGAAGGAAAAGGAAAGAAGGAAGAAATGGAAATGAAAGAAGTGAAAAAGGAAGAAAGGAAACAAATGGAGAAAAGGAAGGAGAAAAGGAAGAAAATGAAGAAGAAAACGGAAGGAGAGGAAGGGAGGGAGGGAGAAGAGGGAGGGAGGGAGGGAGGAGAAGAAAGAAAAATTGGAGAAGGAAGAAAGGAAAAGGAAAGAAAAAGTAAGAAAATAGAAGGAGAGGGAGGGAGGGAGGAAGGAAAGGGAGGGAGGGAGGAGAAAAAGAAAGAAAAATTGGAGAAGGAAGAAAGGAAAAGGAAAGAAGAAGAAAACAGAAGGCGAGGAAGGGAGGGAGGGAGGGAGGAGAAGAAGAAAAGAAAATTGGAGGAGGAAGAAAGGAAAAGGAAAGAAGAAGGAAGAAAATGTAAGGAGAGAGAGGAAGGAAGGAAGGAAAGGGAGGGAGGGAGGAGAAGAAGAAAGGAAAATTGGAGAAGGAAGATTGGAAAGGAAAAGGAAAAAAGAAGGAAGAAAATGAAAGGAGAGGAAGGAAGGAAGGAAAGAAGAGAAGAAAGGAGAAAATTGAAGGAGAAGGAAGAAAGGAAAAGGAAAGAAGGAAGGAAGAAAATGGAAGGAGAGGAAGGAAGGAAGAGAAGAGAAGAAAGGATGGAAAATTGAAGGAGAAGGAAGAAAGGAAAAGGAAAGAAGAAGGAAGAAAATGGAAGGAGAGGAAGGAAGGAAGAGAAGAGAAGAAAGGATGGAAAATTGAAGGAGAAGGAAGAAAGGAAAAGGAAAGAAGGAAGAAAATGGAAGGAGAGGAAGGAAGGAAGAGAAGAAAGGATGGAAAATTGAAGGAGAAGGAAGAAAGGAAAAGGAAAGAAGAAGAAGAAAATGGAAGGAGAGGAAGGAAGGAAGAGACGAGAAGAAAGATGGAAAATTGAAGGAGAAGGAAGAAAGGAAGGAAAAGAAAGGAAGAAAATGGAAGGAGAGGACGGAAGGAAGGAAGGATCCCGAGGAGATGAAAGAAGGAAGGAAAACTGGAGAAGGAAGAAAAGGAAAAGAGACGAAGAGAAGAAGAAAGAAAGGAAAACCAAAGAAGAAGGCGCAAAAGAAAAAACCCGAAAGACCACGAAAGGGGAGGAGGGGGGAAGGACAAGATAAAACAAATAAAACAGTCCGAAAGAGAAAGGGAAAAAGAGAAAGGAAAAGAAAGGAGAAAGAAAAAAAGAAAATCCAAAGGAGGAAAAAGGATGGAGGGAAGGATGCTCTTGGCAAAGCGGAGGGATGAAGGCAAAAGTGGAGAAAGTTGGGGAAAGAAGAGGAGAGGAGAGGTGGGGGTTTTTTTGGGGGGGGGGTCTCTTGGGTGATTGATTACCAGCTCGGCCCCCATCACCACCCCTTTGGGGGAGCGGAGAAACTCCTTGTCCAGCGCGAAGCCCCCAGCCTCGCCGCCCGCCGGCTCCCGCTCGCCCATCCTGCCGTCTCGGGGAGCTTCGGGCTAGCTGGGGAGGACTCCGCACCGCCGCCCCGAAGCAGCCTCGTCGGCCTCCCCGCGTCCTTTTCGCCCTGGCATCCCGAAGCGGACAAAGAAGGATTTGTCCGGCCGGGCCAGGAGGCGACCAGCGCCGGAGAACAAGCGTCCGATTGTCCCGCCGCTAACCCGAGGAGCAGCCAAAAGGACGCGCGGGGAGCGGGATGGAGAGGCGGCCTTCGGCCGGCAGGGGGCGCCCGAGCGCAACGGGGAGTCGGGGGGGGAGGGCAAGCAAGCCGCAGCGCCTGCGCTTTCCCCTCGCTTTCAACAGGGGGCGCTGCTATTTTTAATGTTATTTGTTATCCATCTATCTATCTATCTATCTATCTATCTATCTATCTATCTATCTATCTCTATCTCTCTTTCTATAATCTATCATCCATCTATCCATCTATCTACCTGTCCATCTATCATCTATCATCTATCCATCTATCCATCCATCTAGCCATCTATCGTCTACCAGTATCATCTATCCATCTATCCATCCATCCATCCATCCATGCATCTATCATCTATCATTTATCATCTATCATCTATCCATCTATCCATCTATCCATCCATCCATCCATCCATCCATCCATCCATCCATCCATGCATCTATCATTTATCATCTATCCATCTATCCATCTATCCATCTATCCATCTATCCATCTATCCATCCAGTTATCCAGCTATCTATCATGTACCAGTATCATCTATCCATCTATCCATGCATCCATGCATCCATGCATCCATGCATCCATGCATCCATGCATCTATCATCTATCCTCTATCATCTATCCATCTATCCATCCATCTATCCGTCTATCTATCTATCATCTACCAGTATCATCTATCCACCCACCCACCCACCTCATCCATCCATCCATCCATCCATCCATCCATCTATTTTATCTATATGTAATCTATCTATCTCTATCTATCATCTCCATCCATCTATCTATCTATCTATCATCAATCTATCTCATTATCATCTATCTATCTATCTATCTATCTATCTATCTATCTATCTATCATCCATTTATCTATCATTGATCATCTTCGGTTATTTGGTTACTCTGTCAGACAGATGTCTGTCCGTCCGTCCATCCGTCCGTCCATCCATCCATCCATCTATCGTCTATCGTCTATCGTCTATCGTCTGTCTATCTATCTATCTATCTATCTATCTATCTATCTATCTATCTATCTATCTATATCTATCAATCCACCTATCTGTCTATCATCTCTCTCTCTCTCTCTCTCTCTCTCTCTCTCTCTCCTACCTACCTACTATCTATCTACCTATCTTCTATCTATATCAATCTATCTATCTGTCTGTCTGTCTATCCATCCATCCATCCATCCATCCATCCATCCTTCAATCCTTCTATCTATCCTTCTATCTATCCTTCCATCCTTCCATCCATCTATCTAGCCATCCATCCATCCATCTGTCCGCCTGTCCGTCCGTCCGATAGATTGATAGATCATCAATCTATCTCATCTATCATCTATGTCTATATATCTATCTTTCATCCATTTAGTGTATATGGCATAACATGCCTATTCTGGAAGTAAGCAGTGAGAGTTGTAAAACAGGTCATATGACCAGACCTGATTTCAGAACCTTTTTTGCAGGGGTTGTTAAACAAACCCAATGTTTCCTATGGGTATCTTTCCCAAAAACTGAAAATAAACATTGAGGGGGGAAACGGTCATAACTCAGTCACACAAGACCGTGGGACGTTACAAGCATCCATAAATGCAGACCGATTGCCAGGTTCCCAAAATACGATCATGTATATTTCCACAGGGGTGATTTTTCAAGACTAGATTTGGGTAGACGGGGGATCGTTAATTGAGAGAGGAAACTTTGCACGTGTTCAGAGACGTCCTTAACCTAAAACTGCAATGGGGACCAGAATTTCTGTTGCTAAGTGAGACACGTCCAATTTTACAACCTTTTTTTTTTTTGCCACAGTTGTTAAGAAATGCTGCTCGGAGAACCATCAGATAATCAATCAATCAATCAATCAATCACAATAGATCTGGAAGGGACCTTGGAGATCTTCTAGTCCAACTTTCTGCTCAAGCAGGAAACCCTATACCATTTCAGACAAATGGCTGTCCAATCTCTTCTTAAAAACCTCCAGTGATGGAGCCCCTACAATGTCTGGTGGCAAGCTGTTCCACTGGTTAATTGTCCTTCCTATTGGGAGGTTTCTCCTTAATTCCAGTTTTTTTTTTCTCTCTTCTTGATGAGTTTCCACCCATTGCTTCTTGTCCTGCCCTCTGGTGCTTTGGAGAATAGCTTGACCCCCTCCTCTTTGTGGCAGCCCCCCAAATATTGGAAGGCTGCTATCATGTCACCCCTAAATCCTTTTTTTTTCTCTAGACTGGCCAAACCCTAATTCTGCAACCGTTCCTCATATGTTTTAGTCAGTGGTGGGATTCAAATAATTTAACAACTGGTTCTCTGCCCTAATGATCGGCTGGGTGGGCGTGGCCGTGGTGGGCGTGGCCAGGGGTGTGTGACAGACAGCACTCGGCCTCCTGCACCCTGGGAGCAAAAACGGGCTGCAGGGGGGCCACGACGCCCTCATGTGCCCCGTTTGGGCCTAGGAGGCCTCCCTGAAGCCTCCTCGGAGTGAAATTGGGCCACCGGGGAAACGCTGCACCCCGCGTGCCGTTTTGGGCCTAGTAGACCTCCCTGCACTTAACTGGGTGCCAAAATGGGGCATGTGGGGACTCCTGGAAGGACGGGGCGGGACCAGCCAGCAATTTAATTACCGGTTCGCCTGACTCGGCCCGAACCGGCTGAATCCCACCAATGGTTTTAGTCCCCGGGGCCTTTAATCCTCTTAGTTGCCCTTCTTTGCAATAAGATAAGAGACAGCCTAGCCCAGAGCTGCCTAATGGATGGATAAACATGTTCATGCCATAAAAGCAATTTGGACTTTGAGATTTGCAAAAAAAAAAAATATATGTTAATGTACCCTTATAAATATAATAATATAATAAATATAATACATTTAGAATTAGCTCATTTGGTCTCGTTTCCTATCTGGTCTGCTCTAAGAAGGCTGCCAAGGAAGCAGAGGGTATTCAGCCGGTTCGTTATTCAGCCCGCTCACTGCCCCGACTCTGTGCCATCCTATTTAGGCCCATTTTTTGAGGCCGGGCCAGAGGTGGGTTCTACTTACCTTTACTACTGCTTTGCTCACACGTGTGAGTGCTTTTCTGCGCATGAGCAAAAGCGTTTTGATGACGTCGGGGTCGGTGGGCGGAGCCTCCCTCCGGTTTTACTACCGGTTCTATAGAACCGGTCCGAACCAGGGGCAACCCACCACTAGGCCGGGCACATGCGTGGAAGGCGTACGCGCAGGGAGAACCGAAAATGTGAAACCCACCGCGGCGAGGACGGAACAAGCTACTTTTTAACTTAGTTATATTTTATTGCTTTTTCATGAATAACGAAAAAAGAGGGGAGGGGAAAGGAGCAATATGCAAGGATCATCACATTGGAGATACATTGTCAAAGGGAAAGGGGAAAAAAAAGAATATATATATATTGTAAAAAGGGAAGGGACTTTGGTGTTCTCGGAGCTTGGTTGTTTTCTTGCAAAAATGTCATTCGCCAAACTACGTAACATCCTTAAGATAAAAAAGTCGTTTCATAAAATAAATTGAAAGGGAAATATAATACATCGTAACAATAGACATTTACAATTCCTTCCTGTGTCCTTGTCTAACGCAAATATTATTCAAATACGCAGGTATTTCTAATACATTTAAACCACTATCTCAGTGGTGAAATCTAAATTTGTTACTACCGGTTCTGTGGGCGTGGCTTGGTGGTGGTGGGGGTAATGTGACTGGGTGGGCGTGGCCAATTTTTTTTTTTCCTTTTAAAACCATTTTTTCTACAACCTCTTCGGCGAAAAGGTTGTAAAAAAATGCTTTCAAAAGGCTCTGATGATCCCAGCTGAGTTGCCTGATCAGCAGAGGCTTTTTTTTCTTTTAAAAGCCTCTGCCGATCAGGCAACTCAGCTTGCTTGGATCGTCAGAGGCTTTTAAAAGAAAAAAACTGTAATACACAGGCAACTCAGCTTGGATCGTCAGAGGCATTTAAAAGAAAAACCTCTGCCAATCAGGCAACTCAGCTTGGATCGTCAGAGGCTTTTAAAAGAAAAAAAAGCCTCTGCTATCAGGCAACTCAGATGTCATCGTCAGGTCGTCTTATAGGAAATTAAAAAAGAAGCCAATCCTGCCAATCAGGCACTCAGCTTGGCTCGTCAGAGGCATTAAAAAAAAAAAAGCGTCTGCCAATCAGGCAACTCAGCTTGGATCGTCAGAGCAGCATTTAAAAGAAAAAAAAAGCGTCTGCCAATCAGGCACAATCAGCAACTTGGATCGTCAGAGGCATTTAAAAGAAAAAAGCGCTCTGCCTCAGACTCAGCTTGGATCGTCAGAGATTTCAAGGAAAAAGCTTTTGCAAAAAGCTTCTGCCACTCAGCTTGGCTCGTCAGAGGCATTTAAAAAAAAAAAAAAGCGTCTGCTAATCAGGCAACTCAGCTTGGATCGTCAGAGGCATTTAAAAGAAAAAAAGCCTCTGCCAATCAGGCAACTCAGCTTGGATCGTCAGAGGCTTTTAAAAGAAAAAAAGCCTCTGCCAATCAGGCAACTCAGCTTGGATCGTCAGAGGCATTTAAAAGAAAAAAAGCGTCTGCCAATCAGGCAACTCAGCTTGGATCGTCAGAGGCATTTAAAAGAAAAAAAGCCTCTACCAATCAGGCAAATCAGCTTGGATCGTCAGAGGCTTTTAAAAGAAAAAAAGCCTCTGCCAATCAGGCAACTCAGCTTGGATCGTCAGAGGCATTTAAAAGAAAAAAAGCTTCTGCCGATCCGGCAACTCAGCTTGGATCGTCAGAGGCATTTAAAAGAAAAAAAGCCTCTGCCAATCAGGTAACTCAGCTGGGATCATCAGAGGCTTTTGAAAGCATTTTTTCTACAACTTCTTCAGAGGTTGTAGAAAAAATGCTTTTAAAAGCCTTTGATGATCCCTGCTGAGCCGCATGATCATCAGAGGCTTTTTTTTTTTACTTTTAAAAGCATTTTTCAGCCAGAGGTTGTAGAAAAAATACTTTTAAAAATTAAAAGAAAAAGCCTCTGATGATTGTGCGGCTCAGCTGGGCATGGGGAGGGGGGGGCAGGGATTTTTGCTACCGGTTCTCCGAACCGCCCGCCTCCATCGCTACCGGATCAGGCGATCCGGTCTGGAACCGGGAGCATTTCACCCCTGCACTATCTCCATTTTTATCATACTGAGTCCTGTATTTTATTATATATATAAAATATAAAATTTAGCGACGTCGGTAGGCCTTGACGTACGACCAAAATTGAGACGAGAATTTTAGTCGCTAAGCGAGATGGTTTATGAGATGAGTCAGATGGGCTTGATTTCTCAACCCTTTTTTTTTAATGCCAAATTGTTCCGTGAATCCTTGCAGTCGTTAAGTGAATCATATAGTCGTTAAGCGAATCCGGCTTTCCCCCATTGGCTTCGCCGGCTGGGATGCTTGCAAACGACAATCATGTGACTCCATCATAAATACACAACACATATACAAGTAGTCCTCAACTTACAACAATTCGTTTAGCGACCATTCAAAGTTACAACAGCCCTGAAAAAAAACTTGGTTGTTTTTTGTTTCACACGTATGTCCGTTGTGGCACCCCCATGGCCCTGCGATCGAAATTCAGATGCTTGGCAACTGACTCGTACTTATGACCGTTGCTGGGCCCCTGAGGTCATGTGATTCCACTTTTGCGACCTTTCTGACCAGCAAAATCAATGGGGAAGCCAGATTCACTTAACAACTGGGTTACTCACTTAACAACGGCAAGGATTCGCTGAACCAGGGTAGCAAGAAAGGTTGTAAAACGGGGCAAAAACTCACTCAACACAATGTCTCCTAAACATTGGACTCAATTGTAGTTGTATGTCATGCCCCCAGTCGGAGTCTGAATCTGTGAGGGAAGATGAGCTGGAACAGGAGCTGAGAGAGATCAAGGGGGCGGCTCCATTGGCTTTGGAGGAACTGGGGAAGGGCAGAGCCAATCCGGGCATGACTTTTCAGGATTAGAAAGGCTTAGAGAAATGGAGGAGCAAGAGAGACAAGAGCTCAGCCGAAGAACAAAGACTACTCCCTCCTGATCCTAGAGCATGGAGAGTGGATAGAAGGCGAGAACAACACAGAGAGAGCCAGCTATGAGGGAGGACAGTGCTCCGACCCTCCTTCACAAGGCACACCTGGGGACTGAGATGTAAGGAGGTGCCAGTGGGAGGTGCCAGTGGCATTTATCGGGAACAAGCGTTGAATCTGTGGAGCCTCGTGTGCACTTGCCGACGCCTGGAGATTACTGTGTTCTGTCTTGTGGGAGCTTGTCCGGTTTGCCTGCATCACTGAACTTCTTGCCCTGGTTCCTGTTTTGCAAACCTGGCTTATTGGATTTCTAGCCTTGGTTACTGCTTTTGCTCACCTTGCTTACTGGACTACTCGCAGCCAGAAGCTTTACTCCAGGACTTGTAGTCAAAATGAGGACATTTGGGGGCAAAGTTGGAGCGATAAAGGGAAGTTTGTGAGATCTGTTCTCTGGCTGTGTTGCTTTCGTGCCACACCACGGGGTCATCCCATCGTACGTCGAAGATGAGCTGTGTGTAAATTTTGGATCTCGGGTAACGTTGGGGACGTTAGGTGCAAGGACCGGTTGTAAGTGACTTATTTCCAGCGCCATTGTAAATTTGAAGAGTTACCAAGGATGAAGGATAGACAATCCAAAATAGGTAGGTGCTATTTCCTTTTTTTTAAGAGCTTACACTTTCCAGCCTGGGAACCACGCAAGCACAAGCCACGTTAATCATATAATTGCTAGGTTGCAGATAAAACAAGCCCGGTTGGTCGGGACAGTGTTTCCGATAGAAGACCAGAATCCCGCTTCGCACAGTGACTGAATTGCCTTTCAGTTCCAACTTGTTGTAGGTCATCACGTTCTGCTGAGGGGTCGAGTTGAAGGACAGACAATTGTCGCAAGAGCAGGACGCCTGCCAGAGGTTCTGCGGGTAACGCGTGGCGCTGAAATCCTTCCTGGAGGGAGACAAGGAGAGTTAGGTAAGAATCGCATCCGACACCGGAAGCCCAGCCAAGATTGTGGGAAGGGGTGGTCTCACGGGTGAGATTGAAAAATTTTAGCAACCGGTTCTCGGCCCGGTTGTTGGCTGGCCGTGGTCATGGGGACATGGCCTACTCAGCCTCCTGCACCATGGTGGGGGGGCGTTTTCGCCCTCCCCAGGCTCCGGAGGCTTTCCTCAAGCCTCCATGGAGGCAAAAAGGGCCGCCTCCGAAGGCCGGACATTGGCTCATTTCCAGACTTCTGGTATTTCCGGTATTATTATTATTTATTTAATTTATTATTTATTTAAATTTATATACCGCCCTTCTCTCGAAGGACTCAGGGTGGTGAACAGCCACAGGTAAACACACAGAATACAAAAATTTAAGAACAGTTTAAAAAACATATTAAACAATTTTGGCCCAACAATTAAAATACCCCTTTTAAAATTAAAATTAAGTAATTGGAGAAGTTAGGCCAGCCCGGCTTGTTGAAATAAAAATGTCTTGAGGGCCCAGCGGAAAGTACGTAAATCCGGAATCCTCCGTATCTCCGGGGGGGGAGCTCGTTTCAGAGGGCAGGTGCTCCCACAGAGAAAGCTCTCCCCCTGGAGGCCGCCAGTCGACATTGTTTGACCGACGGCACCCTGAGGAGCCCCTCTCTGTGGGAGCGTACTGGCCGGTGGGAGGCTACCGGAGGCAGAAGGGGGTCTCGTAGGTACACAGGTCCTGAGCCAAGGAGCGCTCTAAAGGTGGTCACCAACACCTTGTCGCACCCGGAGGACCACCGGAAGCCAGTGCAGCTCGCGCAGGAGAGGTGTTGCATGGGAGTGCCATGATGCTCCCACAATCAGCCGCGCGGCCGCATTCTGGAGCAGTTGGAGCCTCCGGGTGCTCTTCAAGGGGAGCCCCATGTAGAGAGCATTACAGTAGTCCAGGCAGGAAGTGACGACCATTGCAGCTTCTCCATGGTCACAAGATCAAAAAGGAGACGCTCGGCAACCGACTCGCATTTATGACGGCTACAGTGTCCTTGGGATCTCCTGATCCCCTTTCGTGAATCAATGGGGAAGCTTAACACCCATGTTCCTAACTTAACAACCGCAGCGATTCACTTAACAATGGTGGCAAGGAAAGGTCGTAAAATGGGGCCAAACTCCCTTCGCAACCTTCTCTCTTAGCAAGACAAAATTTTGGGCTCCATTTTGTAGGCGGTTTTTCTTACTTGTAACTCCAAGGAGAGATAGATCGTTGGGACACGGCACCAGTGGACGTCGCTTGGCAATCCGTGGCCGAATCCGTGGTGTAGGGAGAGGTGGAGCCCGGATATTGCACTCGGAAGCTTCTCCCCAAATTGTGGATCCGGCTGTGATTACAGCAGTCATGCTCTGAAAAGCACCCATGAGCTTGGCGTAGCAGGGAAGCTACGAACAGGACACTGATGACGGCCTGGAAGAGGGAAGAGAGGATTGGAGAGGGGGTAGAAGGCAGGCTGGCAGTGGGGCAGAGGTCCCAGGGTGCAAATCGGGGTTTTCCAGAGGTTTCGGAACTTCCCACCCCTCCAGGGGTGAAATGCTCCCGGTTCGCACCGGTTCAGGAGAACCGGTAATAAAAAAAAGCTACCAGTTCAGGCAAACCGATAGATCAGCTGGGTCGTGTGGTTTATATTCGCTAGAAAGCAGGAAATCCTTGCCAAGGTGCTGCTGAGTTTTTAAGACTTTATGGACTTCAACTCCCAGAATTCCCCAGCCAGTTCTTTGTTTTCGCACTTTGCTGAAGTCAAGATATGTTACGTCGACCGCATTCCCGCTATCTATTAAGAAACTTTCCCTATCAAAAAATAGAATAGTCTAGCCACGTTTCTTCTTATCCTATCCATGCTGAATTCTGTTGTGGTCCGCCAGCAGCCTGCGGAGCTGGCAGCGGAATCGGACAGTGAGGAGGCTGAGGAGGAACATGGGGCAGTCCTGGAGTCTGGGGAAGGCACAGACAAGGGCTCTGCACCGGAGGCAGAGATGGGGCCAAGCCACCTGGGAGTGATGCGCAGACTCCAGAGACTCCAGAGTCGGACAGCAGAGAGGCAGAGGAACACTGTTCCTAGTGCACGCATGTGCAGAGCTGCCAGAAGGCAAGAGCAGCTAAAGCAAAAGGGACGACTCAGGAGTAAGGCCAGGAAATGATTGGCCCCTCCCATAAGGCTTAAAAGAGAAACAAAGGCACTTGGGCCTTTTGCAGGAAAGCAACGTTGCTAACTCTGTTTCCAGTCGGCATCTCTTGTTCGTTTCTGAACTTCGTGGGGCTTTGCCAAGTAAGGCCTTTGGCAGGGCGTCAAAGAAGATAAAGGTTGGTGATTATTCCAAGAGATTTCTTCCGAAGGACTTGTTTTGCAACTAATTGGGACTCAGCTGGGAATGAACATAATTCTCATTCTGTTACAATAAAATAGGTTTTTTTTGGGGACTAATCGTGTCTTGTAATGACTCGGTAAGCCTAGGTCACAACAAATTGTGGTAAACTCTTGCCCGCTAGCTAGGGGAATTCTGCGAGTTGAAGTCCACAAGTCTTAAAGTTGCCAAGGTTACTGTGAATTCTTCTCATTCACATCCAGCAAAGTCTTTCAAGGGAGAATTTACAGTCACAGACCTTATCTGGCTTGGAGAGCTGCCAGGCCGATATCTTCCAAACCCGGCAAGGAATCTCGGAGAGTCACGAACCAATTAAGTGAACTAATTGTCTCCTGCAAACTCCACTCCCCTGTTGCTCCTCTTTTATTCCCTTTGGAAGGGGCCATTCACCATCCACCTGTGGCTTTACTCCTGAGTCGACCCTTGTTCCTTAGCTGTTGCCTTCTCCTGACAGCTCTGCGCATGCGGACACTGGGAACAGGGTCCAGCTGTTCTTCTGCCCCACTGATGTCCGACTCCGAAGGCAGCTGACAACTGTCAGACGGCCCTGGTCCCAGCTCTGCCTCCGACGCAGAGCCCTCGTCAGAGACTTCCCCAGACTCCGGGACTGGCCCATGTTCCTCCCCAACCTCCTCACTGTCTGAGTCTGCCACCAGCTCCGCTGGCGGGCCACAACGAGCTTGTGGTCACTCACTAACACAGTCACAACCCTGGTCAAAAGCCACACTCCGAACCCTTTCCACAGAACATCGAGGCACAAGGGTTCGGAAAACCCAGAGACCCCGTGAATCTAAGGCAGGGGTGTCGCACCTTGACTGCTTGAAATCCACAGGTGTTAAAAGTGTCCAAGGTTGGATACCCCCGATCTAAGGCAACCACGAAACCTGGCTTGGGGACAATGCAAGTTGGTTGGTTGTCACAAACACACACACACACACAGAGATTTTGAACTGAGGAAGTTAAGTCTGACCAGGGAAAAGGATATAGGAGTTAAACTGCCAGGCTAGAAAATGGGGTGGCGAGTTCTAGTTCTTGCTTGAGGCGGAAAGCCAGCTGGGTGAGTTTCCGCTGGTCGGATCACGAATTAATTCATCCCAAAAAAACTTCAGGCATTAACTGAGAGTCGCTGGGATCAAGACTGACTTGGGAAGGAGAAAAAAGGGAAGGGCAGGGGAAAGGAAGGATATGTGAATGGGAAGGGAAGGAGGGAGGGAGGGAGATGGGAATGAGGAGGAGGAAGGAGGGAAAGAAGAAAGGAGAGAGGAATGGGGAAGGAAGGAAGGAAGGAAGGAAGGAAGGAAGGAAGGAAGGAGATGGGAATGAGGAGAAGGAAGGGTGGGAGGGAAGGAGGGAGGGAGGAAGGAAGGAGATGGGGAGGAGGAGGAAAAGAAGGGAAAGAAGAAAAGAGATAGGTATGGGGGAAGGGAGGGATTGAGGAAGGAAGGATGGAGAGAGGAATGAGGAGAAGGAAGGGCGGGAGGGAGGGAGGAAGGAAGGAAGGAGATGGGAAGGAGGAGGAGAAGGAGGGAAAGAAGAAAAGGGATACGTGGGGGAAGGAAGGAGCTGAGAAGGAGGAGAAGGAAGGAAAGATGGGAAGGAGGAGTAGAAGAACGGAAGGGAGGGAGGAAGAAAGGAGATGGGAAGGAGGAGGAGGAGAAGGAGGGAAAGAAGAAAAGAGATAAGTATGGGGAAAGGAAGGAAGGAAGGAAGGAAGGAAGGAAGGAAGGAAGGAAAAGATAGAGAGGACATAACCAAACCTGTTTCCTTGATCCTAGCAGGACCATTTCCCACCCGCCAGGAGCCACCTTACTCCGCTGCCTTTGCCAGCCAAGATCCGGCCGAGCCCCCTTAGCTGGGCTGCCGGGTTCGAGGGAGAGCTTTTCAGGACTTACCAGGCCCAGGTGGTCCATGGTGTCTATGGAAGCTCCTTGTATCTCCAGTGAGTCCTTTTCAGCTCCAACTCTTTTATTTTATTGCCAGAAGAACTTTCCATTCCTGGGTAGCTGATTTGCAAATGAGGCGGGATAGCCCTTCCTGGATGAATGGTGGTTTTTTTTGTTTTAAAATTCCATCCAAACCTGGATGGAATTTGAAATGAGGGGAGGGGTTGGGAGGGGAACCCCCTTGTGGGTGGGGAGGGGGCCCTCTCCCTCTCCCCCTTCCCCATTTTGTTTTGCAAATGAAAGGATTCGCTTTTTCAATGGAGGGATTTTCTGCATCTGAGGGAAGCCGCTCACTTTGGGTTTCTTGGCGGCTTGCCAACTGTGTAGGTGAAACACCCCCCCACTCCCGGTCCCCGAGATTTATTTATTTTATTTTATTTTATTTTATTAATTTTTATTTTTATTTTTTTTTTTTTATTTATTTTTTTTTTTTTTTTTTTTATTTATTTATTTATTTTTTATTTTTATTTTACTTTATTTTATATTTTATTGTTTTATTTTATTTTTATTAAGTTTTATTTTATTTTATACTTTATTAAGTTTTTTTATTTTTTTATTTTTTATTGTTTGTTTTATTGTATTTATTGTATTTATTTTTATATTTTTATTTATTTATTTATATTTATTTTTTATTTTTATTTTACTTTTATATTTTATTGTTTTATTTTATTTTTATTAAGTTTCATTTTATTTTATTTTATACTTTATTAAGTTTTTTTATTTTTTTATTTTTTATTTTTTATTGTTTGTTTTATTTTGTTTTATTTTATTTCTTTTTATTTCTTTTTATTTTCTTTTTTATTTATTGATTTGCCAAGCACATATAAGAGGACAGATTAAAAAGTAGAAATGTGGTTTTTGAAGACGTGAAAAGGATATGAGTAAAAAGGGACCCTAAGACCCTTTAGGACCGCTGTTACTGTGACGGACATTAAAGTCCGTCATAGTAGCAGGGACCTTGGAGGTCATCTAGTCCAACCCCATGCGGGAGACCTGTACTAGGGATTCGAACCACCGAACTGCCCGCCTTTCTGATCACAGGGGGGGCATCCTCCCCCCAGGCCACCTCAAATTCCTGACCTTTAAAAGGCCCCCTTTTGTCACTTCCCCAACTGTTGTGGGGTAACGGATTTCGGTTTCCAAGCGTCTTCGTCCCGCTGGCGCATAATGGGAGCATTTGAACTCGGAGCCCACCAGGGATGGGGGGGAGGTGATCTCCCTGGAGAATCCCGTTGGGTCGGGATCAATTCATTCGGTGAGATCAAGCCTTGGGTGCAAGATTGGAAAAGGCCATAAATCTCCCCAACTAGACTTTTGACAGATAGACTGCCACTAGAGCTGGAGGCTCTTTGGCGCACCTCAGCTCACTGAGTAAGGGGATAGAGGGAGGGAAAATAACAGGGAGGCTTCCGACTTAGGACCACAAACGGAGCCCAACATGTCTGTGGCTAAGGGAGACCGTCATTAAGTGGCTCTGCTCCATTTCACGACTTTTCTCGCCACGGTTGTTAAGTGAATCGCCGCAGCAGTTAAGTTCGGAAGACGGTCGCTAAGTGAATCTGGCTTCCCCATTAACTTTGCTAGTCAGAAGGTCCCGAAAGAGCAAGCGATATAGTCGTTAAGGGAGTTTTGCCCCATTTTACAATTTTCCTTGGCCCCGTTGTTAAGAGAATCACTGCCGTGATGAAGCAAGTCGCACGGTTGTTAAGCGAATCTGACTTCCCCATTGACTTTGCTTGTTAAGTGACCCCCGGAACACTGCAACCGTCGTAAATACGTTTGCCCGACATCCAAATTTTGATCAGGGGATTGTGGAGATGCAGGGACGGTCGTAAGTGTGAAAAGCCGGTCAGAAGTCTTTTTTTTTTTTCCCCAGTGCCGTTGTAACTTCGAAGGGTCACTAAATGAATGGTTGTAAGGCGAGGTCTTACAAAATGCGAAACACCTGTGAACAAAATGGCGCCAAGCTGCCATCTTGGCTTGCTCCCTGTTCGACAGTGTTGAGGATGCTACTGAAAGGATAAGCCACCATTTGGGGTTAATGGGCACCTCTTTCCGTTCCCAAGATGGCTGACGAGTATGCGGTTGGCCCATTCACAAAGTGCTCCTCACTTTGAAGAGGGGGCGGAGCCCGCTCATTTGCATAAGGGCTGCCCCATCGATCCATTCACAAAACACGCCAGTTAGGTGGGCGTGGCCGCCAAGGCGAGGGAGGGCAGGCGCACTCACAAAATGGCCGTCCCCTCCCTCAGGATCCTTTCTGCTGCTTTTCACACCTTTCTTATTATCCCCTGGCAGCAAGAAACTTCCTTTTTACAGATGATCCTCCAAATGCGACCAAAATTGAGCCCCAAATTTCCGTTGCTAAGCAAGACACGTGTTAAGTGAGTTTTGACTCATTATACGACCTTTCTTGCCTCGGTCGTTAAGTTGCCATTGACACATTAGTCACCCGGTTGTTAAGTGAATCTGGCTTCCCCATGGACTTTTCTTGTCAGAAGGACCCGGGGAAACTGCAACCGTCATAAATATGAACCGTCTGAATTTTGATCCCATGATCATTGGGGATTCTGCAACAGTCGTAACTGTGAACAACGGTCATAAGTCGCTGTGACTTTGATCGGTCACTAAATGAACTGCTGTAAGTCGAGGACTACCTGTATTGGTCAATCCCACCACAATCCACTTCCTTGCCAGTTGAGCCTCCATGGCTCAGCGCAAACGACAGGTAGTCCTCGATTTACGACCACAATTGAGTCCAAAACTTCTGTTGCTAAGCGAGACGGGATACTGCAACCGTCATAAATATGAGTCAAGCAGCTGAATTTTGATCACCTCACCGTGGGGATGCTATTGTAACTTTGGTCACTAAACGAATTATTGTAAGTCGTGGATTATCTGTATCTGCAACATAAAAACAGGCAGACTGGCCTACCTTGCAGGGTTCTGCTCATCATGGCCTCTGCCTTTCCGAACTCTGCACATGCCTTTGGGCAGTCGTTCCCAGACAGCCGATCCTCTAGAAACAAATCCAATATATATCCAGGTAGTCCTCATCTTATGACCACAACCGGGGACACAACCTCTGTTGCTAAGCAAGGCAGGTCATGCCTGATTTTATGACCTTGGCTTTTTTTTTGCCACGGTTGTTAAGCGAACCGTGCAGTCGTTTCTCCCAGTGACTTTGCTGGCCGGAAGCCAGCCGAATGATCACATGACTTCCCACAATGCCGAAAGCTGCCGAACACTCAAATTTTGACCACGTGATGCCAAAACAGTCATAAGTGCGAGGACCAGTCATAAAATCATTCAATGAATGGTTGTAAGTGGAGGATTACTGTGGATTCCAAACAGGTTATTATTTCACTAAAAAAATTATTCTAAGGCCTCATTCATAGTATATAGACAGTCCTCAAATTACGACGATTCGTTTAACGACCATTTGAAGTTACAACGGCACTGGGGGGGGGAAATGCCATTATGACCATTGTTCACCCTTACGACCGTTGTAGCGTTCCCCGTGGTCACGTGTCAAAATTCAGGCGCTTGTCAACTGACTCATAGTTATGACGGGTGCAGCATCCCCGGGGGGGGAGGTCACACGATCCCCTTTTGCGACCTCCTGACAAGCAAAATCAGTGGGGAAGTCGGATTCGCTTAACAACTGTATGACTCACTTAACATCTGCAGCGATTCCCCGAACAACGGCGGCTAGAAAGGTTGAAAAACGGGCAAAACTCACTTAACGGCCGTCTCGGTTAGCAACAGAAATTGTGGGCTCCATTGTGGTCCTAAATCAAGGACTTACCTGTCGTTTGCTCCATGAGCCATGGAGGTTCTTAAGTGACAATGTTTAAGAACTGTGGCAAGAAATTTCGTACAATGAGGGCAAACCCTCCCTTAAAAACTGTCTCGCTTAACGACGGAACTTTGGGGCTCCATTGTGCTTCGTAACTCGAGGCTCTAGAATAGATCGAAACGATCCCCTCGTGCAGTCCCCACTTGTGGTTTTTATGGATAAAAAATGCATCGAACAAAGGACTAACAAGTAGCGGGAAAGAATAACAGAGTGGGAAGGGACCTCGGAGGTCCTCTAGTCCAACCCCCTGCTCAGGCAGGAAACCCAACGCAAGCACAATCACATCAGGGTTGCTAGGCAACAGGAAACCTTAGTCCATTCGCAGGTATCCAAGCAACCACATTCACACCTGACAACAGGTGGGGGGAGAACCTGGGAATGCCCCATAGAAAGGGATTTCCTTGTGGTTTTGGGAAAACAAAACAAACTCCAGTTCCCTCAGAATTTCATAATCTTTTCCAGGAATTCCCCCTTGCTGCCTCTCCGCCAGGTCTACCTGAACTCTGACTCACCTGGAGGACAATGGGTGCCTTTGAGAGGGAACGGCAGGGAACAAGGCCCAGGTGAGTTAGCAGGCATTCCATCCGCTGTGTTTATCAGATGCTCCACACACACCAAGCTCTGACCGGGTTAAAATTATGAAAATTAGAAGAATTAGAATTAGAATTAGAAGAATTAGAATTAGAAGAATTAGCAGTAGAAGTAGAAGAATTAGAATTAGAATAATTAGAAGTAGAATTCGAAGAATTAGAAGTAGAATAATTAGAAGTAGAATAATTAGAATTAGAATAATTTAAGTAGAATTAGAAGAAGTAGTAGATAAATTAGAAGTAGAAGTAGAATAATTAGAATTAGAATTAGAAGAATTAGAATAATTAAAAGAATTAGAAGAATTAGAATTAGAATAAGTAGAAGTAAAGTAGAAGAATTAGAATTAGAAGAAGTAGAAGAATTAGAATAGAATTAGAATAATTAGAATAATTAGAATTGGAATAAGAATAATTAGAAGTAGGATAATTAGAAGTAGAATAGAATAATTAAAAGTAGAATAATTAGAAGTAGAATTAGAAGAATTAGCATTAGAATTAGAATAATTAGAAAGAATTAG